AGTGTTTGATAGTTTACCAGTGAAGTTTTCAACATGAGCATTTGAAGAAAGGCTTTGATATTGATTGTGCATTTCAAACTGAAGCACGTCTGAACTAAAAATGTTTCTTTCCAGAGCCATCTGTTCTTACTCATTTCTTTTTTCCTTACTCTTTGCTCTGACATGTATATATTCTTATATAGTTCTTTAGGGAACTGCAAACTAGAAAAGCAAAGAAAGCCATACATCTTGTTTACAGCCTTGTCTAATACTATCTGTAAGGGTAAAGTTTATTTGATAGATTTTATATTTCAAAGTTTTTAAAACATTAATCAAAAACAGCAATACGACTGTGATGATATTACTTAAGTGTAATGAAAACATACAATTTTGATGTAGTTATTTTGAAATTCATAACTTTAGGCCATAATAGTTCTTATTTGAAGTTATTTATTAGTTACATACTTGAAAGAGCTATTTCATCATATTTTACCACCCTTCTTTCAGCAAGTTATATTAGTTCTGACTTTTGCTATGAATGTAATCAAAATCTCTATAATGCAAAATCTTTTAGAAGATTCTTCCTGGATCATAAGATGTCAGCCCATCTTTAACTGATTGCTGGTTGTACAAAAACCCTATTTTCTTTTAATGATCATTAAAAAAAATGTCTTCTATTATCAGTAGGGATTACATTTTATGACTGTCATTTTTCATTTTGGCCTCTTAACTTTATAAAATCCTCCCTACCAAATATAGGTACCAACAAACCCTGGGAACCAAGATTGACTAAGAATTGGGTGGCAAATTAACACTTCCTGTCTTAAAAAATGATATTCACCTTGCTTTTTTGCCAGCCACATTTTGGTACTAGTTTTGTGGCTTCTGAATACTAATTTTTCCAGTGATAAGTCAAAAGTAGGAATTATCAGCCCTTCTCTTCCATTTTAGTGGGGAAACTGAGAACCAGAAGTATCAAGTGACCAGCCCAGGACCCAGGTCTGGTGCTCTCTCCATCATGCCTGTCCCAGTTTGCAGGAGCACTGAAGTACCATTTAGTGTACTTTTTGTAACAATGTGCTGTTCCGCACATCATCTAAGATGTGTTAGTTAAAACATAATTGCCCTTTAGAATGATTTGTGACATGTCTCCTTCATGCTTTTAGCAATATTAATTTTATAAGCTAGTTTTATTACATGCTCATCATTTTAGGTAGAAAGATGTTCTCTTTTAGAATCTGGATTCCTCCTCCAGTAATCTCTCATCAGATCTCAGGAGGAAAGAACAAATCAAATACTGAGAATTGAAATTGATCCAGTCTCACGTATGATTTTATTTAAAGCATCAATGGGTTAATTAATGTTTTTATCCAAAAATATTTTATAATTGAGTCCAAGATTGAGAATACTTGCAATTAAAATAATAATTACTTGCAAATAATAGCAACTAGTAGAATAGGATAGAGCACTATGCAAATACTTAATGTCAATGGCTTCTTATCACAATGCCCCAGGTATGTTAATTAATCTTTGATTCATTCATTTATTAAATGAACATTTATTGACAGCCAGATGTTTTGCTGGATGCTGGAATAAGACAAAGTCCATTCCCTCATTGAGCTTATATCTAGTGCAGTTGTCAAACAATAAACAAGTAAGCAAATAAAATAATTAGGATGTGATAAGTAGAGGGACAGAAATAAACAAGCTTATATGACAAACAATAAATGATGGTGGCCAACTTTGTGTGGGGTCATTAGTAAAAGACCTAGCATAAGAGAGGACATATAAACAGATTCCTGAAGAATGAGCCAGGCATACAAAGAGCTAGGGAAAGAGCTTTGCAGGCAGAGCAAACTGCACGTGCAAAAACCCTGAGATGGGAAAGAGCCACTGTTTTCCTACATGTTAACTGAGAATATAAATATCTTCCCACCTGCTACTCACAGCACTATGGTAATATCAATAAATTTAAATAGCTAATTACTGGGTTGGAGATATATAATAGGCAGTGAAGGAGAAATTGAGGTCTTTTTCTCTACTTTTAGAAAGAAAAGAAAATTATTAGGAGATACTAGAGAGGACAGACAAGAAAACATTGAGATCTATATCTCACCTTCTATAATCAAATACTGCTTCGTGTGATACCAGTTGTCAATGTGGGAGTTCACAGAAGGCGAGGATCTTGCCCTGGAGTTGAGACATGATTTCGGCCTTAAAAAATGGGTAAATTTGGATTGGCCAAAAGGAGGCAGAAGAGGGTGTTTCAAAAGGAGAGAACTGTATAAATACAGATGCTAATAAGATGGACTGAATTGCATGAATGCCTGAGAACATGAAGACTCAAAAGCCTGGAGCCAGAGCAGTCTTTGAGGGAACAGGGGATGATAGACAGGTCTGATTCATAGAGGCGGTTGAAAAGTCAGTGGAACAGTTTTGACCTAATGTTTTAGACAACAGAGGGAATCATTATGGTTTCCTGAACAAGAAAGTTGTATGGTAAAAAGAGAAAATTGGTAATATAGGTACAGATTGATGGAAACAAGGAAAGATTATGGGAGGCTAGATAGGAAGGCCTTCTTTTTTATCATAAATTTCATTGTACCTGGTGATGAGAACATAGTCTATGCTTATATCAGGGAATGAACTATATGCAAGACATTTCAGAGGAATTAACAATGATACTTGGTGACTGAAGAGCTGTAAATCAAAAGTCAAAATGCCTGCTTTCTCTAGTGCAAGAGACCAAACAATAACGTCAATGATGGAACTGGGGAAATTTTCCTGAAATAACTTTAACTGTGTTGGACATGTTAAGTTTCAGAAGACAAGACCCCAAACTGTGATGTGTGTACACAGCTAGAAGTAAAGAAGTAGAGCTAAAATGGAAAGTTAAATTCCGGAATGCAAATAAGTGGTGAGAGGACTTAGTTCTTGAGAATAAATGCTCATGATTAAGAATATATATGGGGAGGGGGATGCAGGTGGAGAATAACACACAGAGAGAGACAGACAGAGAGGGAGAGACAGCGAGGGAGAGAGAATATGAACCTAAGTAGGTAGAAGGCACCAAAACAGCTGTTGGATAAAAGCCAAGTCCTTGGGGCACCACTATTATCATTATCACCATAAAAACTATGACTATCCTTTAAGAGTTATTGCTATGAGTCTTTAAATATAATAACTTATTTAATTCTTTCCACAACCTTTAAAAAGTAAGTGTTATTGTTATCTCCATTTTATGACAGAGAGATTAAGCAACTTGCTCAAGATTGCCCCATTTGAAGACATGGAGCTGAGATTCAAACACAGGCCTTGTGCTTCAAAGCATGAGCCCGTAACTCCCGTGCCGTATGGTTATATCCAAGGTGGTGTTTTAATTACATAGTTTAACTTCTGTCTTATGTAAGTTTCTTGAAAAGGAGTTAATTAACAGTTTAAGAAGTTGGGTAGAAACCGGAATGTCAACAGATGGCTGGGTAGTGAACGGATAAATCCTTACAACAGAAGACAACCTGGAATTCTCTAGAGTAAGGCAGAGAAAAGGAAGGAAGAATGTACCCTTTGCTCTATTTCTTCTTTCTCCTCTCTTTCCATACACTGTTAGTGGCTGATACAGGAAATTGTCCTCTCTGATGAAAGTTACAATAATAATTTGTGGGGAGAATGGCACCTCTGGTTTTTAGCACTTTCTGTATACTACAGATGTATGTCTTCATTTGCATACAAGGAATGTCAATTTATCTAAACTGATTGTCAACCAAAGTTTTATACTGAAACTCATTTCTTTCTTAGCTCCCATTACTAAATGAGAGTTGGATTCCAAAAGACTAGGGTTTGGGAAGTAGCCTCAGGATTGGTATTACTGGATCACTTTCAGTGAGGGAGCCCAAGTACCTAGATCTCTCTGTGGGCAGGCTCAGGTCTTAGAGCAGACTTGTGCCCTGGAACCCGTCCCTCTGGAGAAGCCACATGTGACTTCGACAGTTGCTTTAAAGAATGCATCCCCAGGGCTGAGAGAGAATTTGCTTCCATTCTCCATGGTCTCCAAGGTTCCTCCGACCTCTCTCACTTTCCCTTTTTTTGAGGAGGAGGCAGAAGGAAGTAGTAAGCTCCCAGACCACCATGCTCAGTCATGTGGCTTCTAGGAGAAGGAACCAGGCACCTGCCTGGTGCCCTGTTCCTTGTTCATTCTGCAGGCCCCCATCTGCCACCTTCAGTGCTTGCACTGACTCCCCAGAGATTCCCCGTTTACTTCCCATGCCTCACCCCAGTGTCTGGTATTATGAACCCCAGTAAAATGCTGCACACAGTCCTCATGTAAATGCTATGTCCACCATATAGCCTTATTGAACTCAGCTAAATACCGACAGGATTTCATCTCCTGCTCTCATCTCATTTGTGTTCTAGATATGTATGTGCATATATTATTTTCCCTACTGGGCAGAATCTGTACCTAATTTGACTTTATATTTTCATATCTCCTAACTTAGCATCAGAGAAAGTGAAAGCTGCAAGGTGCTGAGAGGATATAGATTACTTGTGATAATATGTCTTTTTAAAATTTCTCCTTTCTCTGTACCCTAGTAAATAACTATGCTGACTTGAAGGTGGGTTAAGACCAAATCTCCTGATTCTCAGTCCAGGACTTACCCTCCAACAACAGGGTTCTCCCCCTGGCTTACACATTGAAATCACTAGGTATTGCTTGTGATACTTTAAAAATCCTGATGCAGGAGCCCCAAACCATAGAAACGAGAATCTCAGGGTGGGACCCACACATCAATAGTGTTGAAGTATCCCCACATGATTCTAATGTGCAACCAAGATTGGGAATAACTACCCCACAGTGTGGTGCTTCCTGGACCATTCTTGCTTTACTAGGTAATTCTATTAATTTGAAACATTCTTTTTAAGATAATTAAAATTTTAAAGTGGAAAAGTGCTAACTATGAGATAATGGTATAGTACATTTTGTTTTTGCTTGCAAACATAGCTTACTTAACTGTTTAACTTTGCAGATATTTCGAAAGAAAGCAGTGGAACTTGGGGTAAAATTGCTACCTGCATTTCATACTCCCTCTGGAATACCTTGGGCATTGCTGAATATGAAAAGGTAAAACTCTTCATTTTCCACAACATATTTTAAGCTGAAATATTGGAGATTGTTGCCAAACGAGTAGATAGTATATGGATAATTACTTGTATGATGCCAGTGACAGATGGACTCCACTGGGAGTCTTGAGATCCTCCTTGTGCTGGAAGCTATTAGCTTGTCTGTGTTCCACAGCCTCAGGTGGATCCCTGTCATGGGATAGCATGACCCCACCAGAGTCATTCAATGCAGACATGATTTGAGGTTTTCCCTGTTTCTTAATGACATTGCATTGGTGATGCTGTCTCTCTCCGTAAGTACCAAGAGCATTCCATTATCTTTTAAGTTGCTGTCAAAGTGTTTCACTTCCAAGGAAGCAAATTCTTCAGAGCACTAACTATGCTGAGCTAGTAGTAAGAGATACTATAAAGAGGCAAAACTTGGACTAATCAGATTGCCCATACAAGGAGCTGGTGTAACAGACTGGGAGCATGTGAGGCTGCCCAGCCCACAGATGTAAGGAGAGAAGGCAGATGATCCACTGACGTGGGTCAATCCAACTGTCTTACCCCCTGCAGGTGGAGAACCCTAGTATGCCAAGTCCTTGAGGATGTGCCCCCAGTGAAACACCTTGGCTGAACAGACTTCCTGGTATTCTCCCAGGGAATAGTTTGAATTTTCATGATAGCTTAAGCATTTCATTAATAAAGAGCTTTGTCTTAAGCTTCCTTCTTAACTTTCTTCCCCATAAGTTAGTAATAGCATGTGTCTCTTTGTGATAATGATGATGGTGGTGTTGATAGCTGTTATCATCATCATAAAATGTGATAGGCTCTTTACTCAAATTACCACATATAATCCTTACAACAATCCACTAAGGTCAGTACTCCATTTTACTAATAGGAAACTCTAGTCACAGAGAAATTAAGTAATTTGCCCAACATCATACAGTAAATAAATGGTAGAGCTAGAATATATACTTAGATGTTTGTACACACATTGACGGAGACATACAAATGAAAACGCTTTCTTGTTTTAGACACACCAAGAAGACATACAGAGTGCTTTGGCAGGATTAATGCACATTTCTTCTTAATTATGTATTTTACTGACATTCTGCCCTAAAATTAATCATGAAAAATTATGAAATTAATCATGATTTTATTATTTTATTCTTCTCTTAATAAATAAATTTGTGAAATGTCATGCTTTGTTTTCATTTGAATGTTATATGGGTATACCTTGAAATCATCCTGTACCTGTCTGTAAGAGTGTGTGTGTTTGGGAGCAGGGTGGGCGTGTTGAGGCAGCGGGATGGGGAGAGTCCACACCTCTGGGCCATGTTAAATTGAGGTAGTTCCTTACTGTATAATGTGATGTCTCAGGATCTCTTTTTCTCTTAAAGGAGTCCAAAGACTGAATCTATCAGCTTGACGATCATAGCATATGCTGTAGAGTCTTAAGGCAAGGGAGGGTCTGAGCTGGGCTTGGAAGCAGCTTGGTGTTTGTTTGGAGGCCCATGAGTTTTTTATTTGGCTCATGCAGACTTTCTATATTACTTTCTATATCTTCAGACTTTGTATTTTATAGATAGTATTCTTACCAAGGTACTACTCTCTTACTTAAAACAAAATGTGGTCACAAAAGTACTGTGCATAATTCACTCATTTTTTTCCTACCTGCCCACTGAGAAAAATGATCTGGGCATAGTAGTACACTAAACTAATTGGTTATCAAGAGACCTGGTTCTAAATCTTTTACAGCTACTCAGGGTTTGTCTTTGGAGCAGTCACTCTTCAGGCTTATTTGTAATCTGGAAAGTAGGCTAATTCAGTAGTCATTTTGTGAAACTTCCTGAATTCACAGACCATGCACGCTGACATTCTGGTGAAACATGGCCCTCTCCTTATAAAATGTATACTCCTAGTACGTTAATTTTTGTATAATTTCCAAAAGCTGACAGTACAATGGAAGCCTACCTAGGACCTAAGAACCCCAGATTTAAAATCCTGGAGAAGATTATGGCTCCAGCCTTCTACTGAAAGATTCTCTGAAGCTAGTTCCTATTGCTTCCTGGAAGGTAATGAAATTGAATGAAGGCCTACTAAAACTAATAGAGAGAGGTATGGACTACATCTTTGCAAAAGTGAGTCAATTATTGTAAGATGCTGATATCATTTAAATAGTTCTGGCCTCTCTTGAAATATATACAAGAAATTGGATTATTTGGAAGTATGTTTAACTTTACTTAGTGTTTATTTCTAACAGCCAAGTGGATTTTTCCTTAATTAAATCTATTCCTGGAGTACTGTGGAGATATTTTTCAGTACATAAAGGAATACTTAGCTATTAAGTACTAAATCCTCTATTATCTTTCATGTCTATTTCTGTCAGGAATTCATTAACTGGGGCATTGAGGTTTTTTT